CCTCTTTGCCTCTTCCCAGGTCATGCTGATGGTCTTCAATTCAGCTTGTAGAGTTCTTTTCCATGTCAGACGTGGTCTTCCTCTCCTCCGTGTCCCCTGTGGGTTCCAGTTTGAGGCTTGGTGGGTGATGCTTGTTTGCTCTGGGAAAATGGTATGTCCACCCCATCTCCAGTTTCTACTCTGGACAGTGTCAGTGATGGGCTCCTGCCCGGTTCTTTGCCAGAGTTCTTGGTTAGAGATGCACTCTGGCCATCTGATGTGTAGATTCTGTGGAGACAAGTGTTGATGAAGACCTCGGTTAAGAGAGGCAACCTCGTTCCCAGGGTCCTCTCTCTTCCTCCCTCGAGAAAGTACTTTACCACAATTGTGGAAAGCATGAAAGAAACCTGTCAAATACTTATTAAACAAATGCTAAACAAATGCCAAATAATGTATACCAAATAACAAATGCCAAATAATGTATACCAAATAACAAAAGAAATGCCAAATAATGTATATCAAATGACAAATGCCAAATGTAAACCAAATAACAAATGCCAAATAATGTATACCAAATAACAAATGCCAAATATGTGGGACCTTTTTACAGACAAAATATCAAAGGTCCATACGTCAATGTTTCATTAAACTGGTGTTATAGCACCTCAAAGTCCCTTTTTGCCACATGAGCTATTTTATTTTCTGCAACAATCAGTAACCCTGCATGCAAAAAAAGTTCTACATTGATTAATTTGATTTGTTATTTGATTCGATTAGTGCCACTGCATTTGGTTGGGGATACATGGTCCCTACTTCACAATTTTTTGAGGGGTTTATGTGTTCATCTTTGGTGCATGTAGGATATATTGTTTATCCATTTAACTCTAATGTTATTGATGTGTCAAATAAAACATATCTTGGCTTGGCTGACCAAATGCACACATGCATCAAAACTTCTGGGTGTGTTCGATTTTTGACATGTAGTGAAGGCAAAATGATGTACATAATATAACTTACGTACAGCTTACTTATTAATTTTTGCCATAGTCTAATAACAATATTAATAATATTAATGGATCACCCAGTTCCTGTTGTCCGTTTTAAGCTAAAGTTCTGTGAGTGACCATCCAGTAGTAAATATGAGGCAGAGGGGCCTATTAAACTGGGGGGTTTGGGGGCATGCCCCACCCACCCCCTTTCCCCACAAAACGTTGCAAAACTGAGGCATTTTTGTAGCATTTTCCACGATTTTTAGCCGATAAATGTAATTGTATTGTTTGGACTTAAATGATAATGCATTGTTTACTTTGCCAAAAACCTAAAATACATTGAAAATAGTCCATCAGTTAACACCTCCTTGATTGTCTGTGATTACATTGATCTTGGCAGCCATCTTAGGGGAAGTGTTACAGTTCGCTGTGGGTGTCCACAATCGTCATTTGTCACGTCAGTTGTGAAATCACTCCTTTATTTCAAGGCTTTAAAAACATGGTATGTGCTTGCCAAAATTCAAATGAATCAAGCAGAATGGCAGTTTGTAGCAGGTTTTTTTATCACTCTTAAGCCATGGTTATCCATGAGAGTTTTTCTGCCAGGGTGTTTGGCTACCAGAGTCCATGATGAAGTTGCTATGCACAAAATGTATCAGCTTTAAAATGGAAAAATGTCTGCTTTCTATTTAAAACTGCAGTATAAAGTGGCTGCCAAGGTGCCATTCAGGCAGGTACAGCTTGTAAGCCTGGCAGTGCAATTCACTCTGCAGGAA